TCTGAGGCCATATCTGGATATGCTAGGCTCATCAAGTTTAACTCGAGCATTCTGTGTGTGCAAAACTGGCTTGCACCCGTTGTATATGAATGTAGAGCTTATCATACCCGATCATCACGTGGTGTCTCGGCACGACGAGCTGTAGCAACGGTGCATACTCAGGGAGAACACTTATACCTTGAAATTTAGTAAGGGATCATCTTATAATGCTACCGACGTTCTAAGCAAAATAAGATGCATAAAGGATAAACATCACATGCAATCAAAAAATGTGGCATTATATGGCCATCATCATCTTGTGCTCATGATCTCCATCACCGAAGCATCGTCCTGATCTCCAACGTCACCGATGCGACACCTTGATCTCCATTGTAGCATCATTGTCATTTCTCCACCTATTGTTACTACGACTATCACTACCGCTTAGTGATAAAGTAAAACAATTTACATGGCGATTGCATTGCATACAATTAAAGCGAGAACCATATGGCTCCTGCCAGTTGCCGATAACTTTGTTACAAAACATGATCATCTCATACAACAATTTATATCACATCATGCTTGACCATATCACATCACAGCAAGCCCTGCAAAAACAAGTTAGACGTCCTCTACTTTGTTGTTGCATGTTTTACATGGCTACTACGGGCTTCTAGCAAGAATCGTTCTTACCTACGCATCAAAACCACAATGATTTTTTGTCAAGTGTGCTATTTTAACCTTCAACAAGGACCGGGCATAGCCACACTCAATTCAACTAAAGTTGGATAAACAGACACTCACCAACCACCTATGTGCAAAGCACGTCGGTAGAACCAGTTTCGCGTAAGCATACGCGTAATGTCAGTCTGAGCCGCTTCATCCAACAATACAGCCGAATCAAAGTATGACATGCTGGTAAGCAGTATAACCATTATCGCCCACAACTCTTTGTGTTCTACTCGTGCATATAACATCTACGCATAGACCTCGCTCGGATGCCACTGTTGGGGAACACGGGAATTTAAAAAAAATCCTACGATCAGGCAAGATCTATCTAGGTGATGCATAGCAATGAGAGGGGAGAGTGTGTCATGTACCCTCGTAGACCAAAACCGGAAGCGTTTAGTTAACGTGGTTGATGTAGTCGAACGTCTTCGCGATCCAACCTATCCAAGCACCAAACGTACGTCACCTCCGCGTTCAGCACACGTTCAGCTCGGAGACATTCCTTGTACTCTTGATCCAGTTGAGGCCAAGGGAGAGTTTCGTCAGCACGACAGCGTGGTGATGGTGATGATGAAGTTACCGGCGCAGGGCTTCGCCTAAGCACTACGACGATATGACCGAGGTGTGTAACTGTGGAGGGGGCACCGCACACGGCTAAACAATTGTCAACTTGTGTGTTCTAGGGTGCCCCCTACCCCCGTATATAAAGGAGCAAGGGAGAGGCCGGCCGGCCCTCTAGGGCGCGCCAAGGGGGGAGGAATCCTCCTCCTAGTAGGAGTAGGACTCCCCCCTTTCCTAGTCCTACTAGGAGAAGAAGGAAGGAGGGGAAGGAGAAGGAAGGAGGGGGCGCCGACCCTCCCCCTAGTCCAATTCGGACTAGGCCCATGGGGGAGGGCGCGGCAAGCCCATGGCTGCCCCTCTCTCTCTCCCTTAGGCCCAATAAGGCCCATTACTTCTCCGGTGGTTCCGGTAACCCTTCCGGCACTCCGGTTATACCCGAAACTTCTCCGGAACACTTCCGGTGTCCGAATATAGTTGTCCAATATATCAATCGTTATGTCTCGACCATTTCAAGACTCCTCGTCATGTCCGTGATCACATCCGGGACTCCAAACAATCTTTGATACAACATATGAGATAAACTCATAATACCAATCGTCATCGAACGTTAAGCGTGCGGACCCTATGGGTTCGAGGACTATGTAGACATGACTGAGACACGTCTCCGGTCAATAACCAATAGCGGAACCTAGATGCTCATATTGTTTCCTACATATTCTACGAGGATCTTTATCGGTCAAACTGCATAACAACATATGTTGTTCCCTTTGTCATCGGTATGTTACTTGCCCGAGATTCGATCGTCAGTATCTCAATACCTAGTTCAATCTCATTGCTGGCAAGTCTCTTTACTCATTCCGTAATACTTCATCCCGCAACTAATTCATTAGTCACAATGCTTGCAAGGCTTATAGTGATGAGTATTACCGAGAGGGCCCAAAGATACCTCTCCAAAACATGGAGTGACAAATCCTAATCTTGATCTATGCCAACCCAACAAACACCTTCGGAGACACCTATAGAGCACCTTTATAATCACCCTTTTACGTTGTGATGTTTGGTAGCACACAAAGTGTTCCTCCGGTATTCGGGAGTTACATAATCTCATAGTCTGAGGAACTTGTATAAGCCATGAAGAAAGCAGTAGCATTGAAACTAACACGATCATAATGCTAAGCTAACGGATGGGTCATGTCCATCACATCATTCTCCTAATGATGTGATCCCGTTCATCAAATGACAACATATGTCTATGGTTAGGAAACATAACCATCTTTGATCAACGAGCTAGTCAAGTAGAGGCATAATAGGGACTATAGGTATTGTCTATGTATTCACACATGTACTAAGTTTCTGGTTAATACACTAGCATGAATAATAAACATTTATCACAAATTAAGGAAATAAATAATAACTTTATTATTGCCTTTAGGGCATATTTCTTTTAGGCAGTGGAGGGGTGGTGTTGTGGTGATGTCACCGCCTGCAATAAGCGTGCTCTGACCACGCTCTGTACACACACGCTAGGTGTTCGGTGAAATGACAAGGTATTCTAGGAGTATCTACTGATGATGAATTTTGATAGGACGACTTCTATTGGTATGTTAAATATGGGGGACATGTTTCTTTAGTCAGGGGATCAAGTGGAATATGCAGTTTAGAAAGATGCAACAATTTGGTTATGTCCACAAGATGCTTGACAGAATGTTAGGGCTATTTAAAAAATTCTTCTGGTTGTTACACTTGGCAGGATGATGTCTCATTGGATGAAAAATATGGTGGTGGAGTTAGTTTTTGAAAAGAGAAAACTTACTAGTGCAAGTTTTATAGGAGTTCAGTTCTGACCCACAACTGTAGGGGTTTATTCGGTGGTCTTGCACAATGAAGTTGGGTCTGATCTCCTGAACTTAAGGGTTTGGTTGGAAGGAATACAAGAAGGACAAAAAAATTAGAATCATTTGAGCAAGAAAAATCAGGGTTGTAGTTCAATGCTCAAACTGGACCAGAATTGAGAAATGGAAGCTCTGCTCAACATTCTCAAAATACTATGTTCCTTTTTCGCATAAAACTAATTTATAGGACCAGGAGGGTCTCCCATTTTTTTTGAATTTTAAAAGAATTATTTAAATAATCTTAGTGCAACAGGGGCATTCTGGAGTTTCAAGATATTAATAAAAGAATTGCTTTGAGACCAAGTCATTATGAAAATAATTCCTACTGATATTTATAATATAATTAAGAGGATTATGAGAAAAATTTAAAACCCATAATATTTTTCCAAAAATATCTATATGGAGGGAAGTATTTTGAGAAAGCAGCAAACAAAGAAACTCTGAAATTAATAAAAAACCTAATATAATTCAAAAAAATATTTTTGTCAAAATTTTACTTTAATAATAACATGATTAAATTTTTGGGGGGTTACAATCCCAAATTTTGGCAGCATCAATGCAATGTTGATGGAACGCAACCGAGCAAAGATCTTGACATGCTGAGAAGTTAAGACTGGAGGACGCGACACGTCCTTTGGGTGGAGAAATGAGGGTGACATCATAGGTATGCAACCGATGCAAAGTGACCACAGTCATATGGACACATGACATAGCTCAGATTCCCGATCAACCAAAATTTTGGCAGAATCAATGCAATGTTGATGGAAAGCAAGCAGGCAAAGATCTTGACGTTCTTTTTTTTCTTTCGAGGGTACGCCAAAGGCGTACCATAGCTTTATAGAAGGGAGAAAAATATGTATAAGAGTTATTACATTGAGCTAGTTGATGGTCACAAGCCGACCCCAACCAAACCTCCACTCCACTCCTAAATACTACTCTACTACTCGGGTATCGGTCTTCCTCCAGATGCTCCTGCCGTAGCCCAAGTCCTCAAGTCGTCGAAGATCTTGACGTTCTAAGAAGACAGAAGGACGCGACACTTCGTTTGGGCGAGAGTCTGCAACCGATGCAAAGTGACCACAATCATATGAACACATGACATAGCTTAGATTCCCTAACACCTGACTATTAGGTAGCATCAATGCAATGTTGGGGGAGTTGTGAGAGTGGGTGACAACGAGGTAAATCTTCTCAAGATGCTATCAAATTGAAGAGTGTTGCACCTGCACGATTGTTAGCTAGAGTACTTTATAATCCATGGTATTCTGAATACCCTTTTTGTATGTGTAAGTATTTGAGAAAGAGGCCTTGACCCCTTTTTTCTAACCAAAGTAAAAAAAAAACATGATTTTTAGGGACGAAGGTATTCATTGCCCACACAATCAAATACTGAGATTTTAGATTACCACGTAATTTAAAAAAAAACTATGTTACCAAACTAGGCCTGAAGTTGTATGTACTCACTACTCACTTCAATGTACATTAAGTGACGCAGTTTTATTACAACTTAGTTTTGGATCGGAGGGAGTAACTTAACATTCATCCATGTTATGAGATGCAAGGTTCAGAGAGTCTGATTTTCCACATAAATACGCGATAGAGTTGCTGAATATGAAGAACTGAAGGTGTTTTGTGCCAGCCACATACTGTACTAAGGTAACTACACCAGCACTTGTGCAAGTAAGCCCTGAATAACCTAAACCCACATCAAGAATGATGAAATCACAAAAAGGAAAATTCCCACCAACTACAGAGACCCGTGAAACCACCAGCTATTGAGCTTCAAGATGCAGTCGAACTTTTTCATCTCTGATCCCTCTCGCCAGTCAACTTTGCAGATCACTGACCGATGCCGTAGTCGATGCTCAGCTCCCGCAGCGGCGGGATGGTGTCCATGGCGAACAACATCAGACGAGGGTACGACTCGTTGCCGTCGCCACGGAGCACCAACTGGACGAACACGTTCGGGGCGCTGCTGTGGCTGATGTAGGGAGCAAAGTTCCTCCTCCGGGACACGTCGAGCACGTAGCGCGGGCGCGGCCCTGCCAATTGCGCGAATCGGGGAGGTTCCTCGGCGTCGTCCGGAAGCGTGGCCGCGGAGGCGTCTCCCCACTCCCTCCATCTCGCCGGAAACTTCTTCGGATCGACGATGCCGCCCCATTCAGTCGACGCGCCGGCGGCATTGCTTGCGTGGTGACCGTCGTCGTCCACGGTGACCACGTCTCCGCTGAACTCGCAGACGAAGGCGCCCGGCTGGATCAAGTCCAGTGCCCTGACGCCCCAATCTGTCTGCCTCGATCGGAACACCTCCAGCCGGTGCTGCATCCCTCGCTGCGTCACCCGGTTCGAGCAGCTCGCAGGGCACCCGCACCGCGCGCCGCACTCGTACACCACCGGCCTTCCCCTGACGAGCGTCCCGTCGGCATTGTACGCCGGGCCGCCTCCGCCATTCTTCCTCACGCAGGCGCAACTGCCAGATGACCACGACCCGCCGCACGCCGCCGTAGCATACTGGCAGCACCTGAGACGCCTCGCCGTCCCGGGCAGCACCGGGGGCGCCGGGAAGTCAGGGCGGGCAATGTACTCGAAGCCGAGGGGAGAGAGGTCTCGATCCACATTGTTGAAGACGGGGACACGGATCACCTCCTTGCCCTTGGACAGGTCTCGCGTGACGTAGCCGCGCGGCCGGATGTTGGAGTCGAGCGTGTTCGTGAGATCCCGGGCAGAGCGCCAGATTTTGCTGCCGAGCGGAGCCTGGCCGGGGATGCGCACGAGCTTGAACTTGCAGACCTCGTGGCCTGACTTTCCGGGGCCATAGGTGATGGAGTCGACCTTGTAGAGGCCGTCGTATACGTAGAGCTTGGCGCTGGGGCTGGTGTCGCAGTCGTTGCTGCGGATGACGCGTACCTCGACGCCGTACTTGTGGCTGTAGGCGAGCGCGAGGTTGCCGCGCTCGAATTCCTGGTCGGTGTTGTGCTCGACGCCGTGTCGCGGGCGGCCGCCGCTGCCGGTGTAGATAAGGACTTCGCCGTTGTCGTGGTCGTCGAGGTAGCCGCCGGAGGAGACAATGCTGGTGGCGACGGGGTGCCCCTCGCTGACGAGGTTGGCGGGGATGAAGCCGATGCCGGCCTGGGTTTGGTTGTGGAGGCCGACGACGATGAGCTCGGCGCGGTAGCTGAAGACGTCGCCGACGAAGACGCCCGGGATGGAGCCGACGATGCGCACGTCGCGGTAGAGACAGAGGCCCTGGGAGAGCATCGTGCTCAGGGCGGTCATGTCGGCGCGAGTGCGGCCGCCGCGGTGGTAGATCCCCCGGACCGCCTCGAAGGTGAGGCGCGCCCGGCGCACGAGAGTGCGGACCTCGAGGTGGTCGGCCTCCGCGGTGACGGTGGCGCGCACCATCTCCGGGCCGGCTGTGCCGCGTGCGCGCTTCTTGCCCTTGGCGCTGGCTCTGGCAGTCGAGGAAGAGGCCCGCGCCGGGTCGGCGCTGCGCGGCGCAGGCGGAGGCGGAGGCGGGGTGGGCGTAGAGGAAAGGCTGGCGCTCCGCGGGGCAGAGGGAGGTGGGGGAGGCGATGGCTGGGGAGGTGTGGAGGAAAGGCTGGCGGAGATGGCGTCGAGGCGCCGCTGGGCGAGGCGGAGGCTGTGGGCGAAGTCGGCATGGTCGTCGGGAGAGGGCTCGAGCTCCCGGCGGAGCGCGGCACAGAGCTCGGGGGTGAGAGGCGTCGTCTGGGTCGAGGCCGGGAGCGCGTCGGCGTCGGGGTCGGGCTTGGTGGACACCCGGCGGAGGAGGGCGGCGCAGAGCTCGGCGGTGGGAGCGGGCGCGTCGGGATCTGGCTTGGGGACGAGGAGGGGACGGCGGGGAGCGGACGCCATGGGCGATCGGCGACGGCGGAAGAGGGTTTTTGGGCGCTGGGCTGGGGGGGCTTTCCTTCTTTCCGCCGTTGGAGACCGCTCCTGATTTTACTCTGCCATGTGCCCACGCTGCTCGCTGCCGCCAACGTCGGGTCTTTTCTACTTCCTCTTTGAGGGCAGTTATGCCTTTCCGGATTCCGTAGTTTCAGTCACCCATTTCGAGTCGTGGATGGGTGGGCCGTTCGTCGCTGCACGACTTGCGATTCTACCCTCGTTATTAAGGGTACATTGGACGCGAGAATTAAGGGTGTCAGGAATATATTTGCAGAGAACAATGAACACAAAATGTAGGGAGAGAAACTTGGAGGCTCTTTCTCATTAATCTTCGGTGGATCATTGTACAAGATATGAAAATATATTCATACCATGTATTCATCTTTGGTATGAAAATATATTCATAGCATATAGTATATATTTGTATTATGAAAGTTTAGATACCATATATATTTGTTATTATGAAAGTTTAGATTGTTTCGGTAAACTTGGCCAAACTTTATAAAATTTGACTTAGGTCAAAGGTAATATGCGGAGTAAATAAAAATCTATGGAGTATATCTATCTGTTCCTTAGCCCATAAGCAATCTTGCTTCACAAGTTTGCTAGACTTGTTGGTCTTCAATTCTCAAAGCTTATCTACAAGATCCCTTGGAGTAGGGAACTTGCCATAGTCTAGAAGGAAACTTCCATGGCAAGCTAGCTTAGCCAAGGAAACTTGCATGGTAAGCTTCCTTACATATGAAGTTTGATCCTCGATCAAGGTGTCTAGTTTTTGTCACATAATTATTTGTTATCATAACACGTGGTTTCATAACACCCCCACCCTCCCTTGACGATTACCGCGCAAAGCATGTGCCTCACTAGAAACTCCTCTAAAAAACCAAACGAAAAAAGGATGAAGAAAAGAGTGCACTACATACGCAAGTTGCCTCGTTAAAAACCTTATGTGAGAAACAACAACAACAACAACAACAACAACAACAAAGCCTTTAGTCCCAAGCAAGTTGGGGTAGGCTAGAGGTGAAACCCATAAAATCTCGCAACCAACTCATGGCTCTGGCACATGGATAGCAAGCTTCCACGCACCCCTGTCCATAGCTAGCTCTTTGTCGATACTTCAATCCTTCAGGTCTCTCTTAACGGACTCCTCCCATGTCAAAATCGGTCGACCCCGCCCTCTCTTGACATTCTCCGCACGCTTTAGCCGTCCGCTATGCACTGGAGCTTCTGGAGGCCTGCACTGAATATGCCCAAACCATCTCAAACGATGTTGGACAAGCTTCTCCTCAATTGGTGCTACCCCAACTCTATCTCGTATATCAACATTCCGGACTCGACCCTTCCTCGTGTGGCCACACATCCATCTCAACATACGCATCTCCGCCACACCTAACTGTTGAACATGTCGCCTTTTAGTCGGCCAACACTCCGCGCCATACAACATTGCGGGTCGAACCGCCATCCTGTAGAACTTGCCTTTTAGCTTTTGTGGCACTCTCTTGTCACAGAGAATGCCAGAAGCTTGGCGCCACTTCATCCATCCGGCTTTGATTCGATGGTTCACATCTTCATCAATACCCCCATCCTCCTGCAACATTGACCCCAAATACCGAAAGGTGTCCTTCCGAGGTACCACCTGGCCATCAAGGCTAACCTCCTCCTCCTCACAGCTAGTAGTACTGAAATCGCACATCATGTACTCGGTTTTAGTTCTACTAAGCCTAAACCCTTTCGATTCCAAGGTTTGTCTCCATAACTCTAACTTCCTATTTACCCCCGTCCGACTATCGTCAACTAGCACCACATCATCCGCAAAGAGCATACACCATGGGATATCTCCTTGTATACCCCTTGTGACCTCATCCATCACCAATGCAAAAAGATAAGGGCTCAAAGCTGACCCCTGATGCAGTCCTATCTTAATCAGGAAGTCATCGGTGTCGACATCACTTGTTCGAACACTTGTCACAACATTATTGTACATGTCCTTGATGAGGGTAATGTACTTTGCTGGGACTTTGTGTTTCTCCAAGGCCCATCACATAACATTCCGCGGTATCTTATTATAGGCCTTCTCCAAGTCAATGAACACCATATGCAAGTCCTTCTTATGCTCCCTATATCTCTCCATAAGTTGTCGTACCAAGAAAATGGCTTCCATGGTCGACCTCCCAGGCATGAAACCAAACTGATTTTTGGTCACGCTTGTCATTCTTCTTAAGCGGTGCTCAATGACTCTCTCCCATAGCTTCATTGTATGGCTCATCAGCTTAATTCCACGGTAATTAGTACAACTCTGAACATCTCCCTTGTTCTTGAAGATTGGTACTAATATACTCCGTCTCCATTCTTCTGGCATCTTGTTTGCCCGAAAAATGAGGTTGAAAAGCTTGGTTAGCCATACTATCGCTATGTCCCCGAGACCTTTCCACACCTCAATGGGGATACAATCAGGGCCCATCGCCTTGCCTCCTTTCATCCTTTTTAAAGCCTCCTTCACCTCAGACTTCTGGATGCGCCGCACAAAACGCATGCTGGTCTCATCAAAGGAGTCATTCAGTTCAATGGTAGAACTCTCATTCTCCCCATTGAACAGCTTGTCGAAGTACTCCCGCCATCTATGCTTAATCTCTTCGTCCTTCACCAAGAGTTGGCCTGCTCTGTCCTTGATGCATTTGACTTGGCCAATATCCCTCGTCTTCCTCTCCCGGATCTTAGCCATCTTATAGATGTCCCTTTCACCTTCCTTCGTGCCTAACCGTTGGTAGAGGTCCTCATATGCCCGACCCCTTGCTTCACCAACAGCTCGCTTTGCGGCCTTCTTAGCCATCTTGTACTTCTCTATGTTGTCTGCACTCCTATCCAGGTATAGGCGTCTGAAACAATCTTTCTTCTCTTTAAGCGCCTTCTGGACATCATCATTCCACCACCAGGTATCCTTATCTTCGCTTCTCCTTCCCCTGGACACTCCAAACTCCTCCGAGGCCACCTTACGAATGCAAGTCGCCATCTTCATCCACACATTGTCCGCATCCCCTCCTTCCTCCCAAGGGCCCTCCTTAAATACCCTCTCCTTGAACACCTGAGCTACCTCCCCCTTGAGCTTCCACCACTTCGTTCTAGCGAACTTGGCACGCTTATCCCGCTGGACACGAATCCGAAAGCGGAAGTCAGCAACCACCAGCTTATGCTGGGGTACAACACTCTCCCCAGGTATCACCTTACAGTCTAGGCACGCACGCCTATCTTCTCTTCTCGAGAGGATGAAATCAATCTGGCTAGAGTGTTGGCCACTACTAAAAGTCACCAGATGTGATTCTCTCTTTCTAAAGAGGGTGTTAGCTACAATCATGTTGTAGGCTAGAGCAAAGCTTAAGACATCTTCTCCTTCTTGATTCCTGATGCCATAGCCAAAGCCCCCATGCGCCCCTTCAAAACTTGTGTTAGATGTACCCACGTGGCCATTGAGGTCTCCTCCTATGAAGAGCTTCTCACCAATCGGTACACTCCTAACCATGTCTTCCAAGCCTTCCCAGAACTCCCTCTTGGTGTTTTCATTGTGGCCTACTTGCGGGGCATATGCGCTGATAACATTGAGAACCAAGTCCTCAGCTACCAGCTTGACCAGGATAATCCGGTCCCCACGTCTCCTGACGTCTACCACTCCATACTTGAGGCTCTTGTTGATCAAGATGCCTACGCCATTTCTGTTTGCAGCCGTCTCCGTGTACCACAGCTTGAAGCCGGTATCCTCCATCTCCTTCGCCTTCTGTCCTCTCCATTTGGTTTCTTGGACGCAAAGGATATCAACACCTCTCCTCACTGCTGCATCAACTAGCTCCCGAAGCTTCCCTGTCAGAGACCCTACATTCCAGCTACCTAAGCGAATCCTCCTAGGCTCGGCTAGCTTCCTTACCCTTCGCACTCGTCGAGTCAAATGCGAAGACCCTTGCTCATTTTCCACTACATCCGGGCGCCGATGTAGCGCGCCACTAAGGATGCGACGATCCGATCCTCGCTCACTTGCCATCGTATCCGGATCAAGATACGGCGCGCCACTTGGGGGGTGACGGCCCGGCCCTTGCCCATTTTCCACCACACACGGGTTCCGATGTGGCGCGTCGCTGAGAGGGTTACGCCCCAACGAAAATCTTTTGGGTTTCATCTCCATAAGAGTGGCTGAGTTTTTACGTTGGCTCGCCAAGCCTATCACAACCCTCCTCCTTTACCCGGGCTTGGGACCGGCTATGTTGAGACAACATAGGCGGAGTTAAAAAAAAACCTTATGTGAGAAAACCCAATGAAAAAAAAACCTCACTAGAAAAGGTACTACGACGAATCTCACATGTTTCCTCATAAATAACCTTATGTGTGAAAACCCAGTGGGGAAAAGTCACTAAGGAAAAAGAGTAAAACGGTTAATCTTCGGGATTAGTAGTGGTCATCATAACCACCATGGTTTTCCGGACTGATGATCTTCCGGATCATCTTATATAGGCTATGTCGTGGGATTTTTCTCCCCATAATATTTGCAACTATGTAAGTCGTCTCATATATAGGTCCCCTTGTGTTGGTTGATGCCGTAAGCGTATTTAGTAGGGCTCCGCGTGACCAGAATGCTTGATTCAATCTTCTGGCATCCCTATGGTTGCTCTCCTCAAAGGAAGGACTACCATAAAAATTGTGTCGATGCAGCCCGAGAGCATGAAGCTGTGGGGGGGGGGGAGAAGCATCCGCGAGGGTCCGGAGCAAAAAGCAGGAACGCACGATGCAACCTTCAAGTGGAGCTGCGGAGGAGGGGCACTTAAAGTGATGCAACCCCGAGTCCATCAACAAAGAGATACCTTTGTTCTTCCGCGATTTGTCTATCCCAAGGGGTTCATGCCAGTGTTTGTGTGGAAAAGTTGTGTGTCATATTTATTAGCAAACTATAAAAGGGAAATGAAAAAATGCGGGAAGCCTCG